TCTCTCTCTCTCTCTCTCTCTCTCTCTCTCTCTCTCTCTCTCTCTCTCGGAAATCCCCCCGGGCAATGATGACGAGGTCCACCATCGCCTCACGTCCCTTTGTTGACTAAGCAACGGTGGTGTTGGCTGAACGACGGATTATATCGGTTTATCGGACCGATGCAGTCGCATCATTGAATAGTGAGTATACACTTTATGAGGACCATACACTGTTATACAACTCGCCGATTTTCGGAAACGTCCTGGAAACTCTCGAGAGGAATATTTAACTCGCATGTCTCCGTACGGATAGTATAATACGAGCATGAATAAGTAATAAGCCATATTAATGTTCGTTAATACCGAGACGTCTGGTAATAAGTTCGACTAATTCGACGTTCGCAGCAAACAGCATTAGATATGAGCACGACGATTAGACTAAGTTCGTACTAAAATAAGTTGTACAAGCGCTATTACAGCGCCTGATAGAGGAAGGAAGGATTAAAAAGTGCCCAAGTGTTAGTTTAAAAAAAATTCCAATTTAATAAATGGATCAATTAATAGACAGATTTCAAAAATAAATTTGATATTTGATATTTATAGCGATCTCAATTAAAGAACTCAAATAAAACTGATCTTGAGACATATAACCTTTTTGTTTTTCATGATTCAATAATCAATTTTACAGAGAAAATTAATTTTGTAGATAATATAATCGCATATGTATGCATAATAGTTTTCCAATCTTATAATATTTTCAGGAAATGATTTAAGAAGAGAGAATAATTATGTAAAAAATTTGAGTTGAAATCCAAATCAATTTATCGTTTTATAATAGAGGTTCAATAATTAAATTAATTAAGTAAATAATTTTGAAACACAAAAATGAAACATTAAGCGCATCTTCATGATTAATAAAATTAATCAACCATTTAAATTGTCTTTAAAATTTGTATACACACACACACACACACACATGCACGCATCTAAAATGTTAAAATAGTTTATTTAAAATAAAATTATCTAAAATAAAAAAGTGAAATAAATTTTCTCATCAATTACAATGCAAGTAACTTTTTATTCCAATGCGCGCTTTCTTAATTGAAAGGAATTAATCATTATCAAATTATTCAGATAAAATAATTATATCAGTTTATTATTTTCAAATAGGTAAATAAAAATCATTTATTAGTTAAGTATTTCTTAGCAAAAAAGCAAGAGTCACTTACTCTTAATCTTCATTTTTAATTCTTATATCTTTTTTCCAAACATCCCTTTAGCAACTATATTTTCGGAAAGAATTCTGTTTATCCCTAAACACTAATCATGACATAAAAAGTTTTATTAGAACCAGAAGTCTCAAAAATTAAAAACAGAAAAATACATAGGAGTTTTCTTACTTAAAATTAAAAAAAAACACAATAAATTATTAGAAAATACCAAATGTCATCATATCTCACGATTATTAATCGTAATTGCGAACATCAAAATACATTAAAAATAAATATATAATTATGATTCATGATACGTTTAGTGAATTCATAAATATATCAAAACGATGAATATTTTTTGTATAGCGAATATTTCGTGCAATTTAGAGTAGAAGTATATACATGAGAAACGATAGAAAAAATTATAAATTATTCTTTCGCGATATTTAAGGATAATAATTATTTCCTCAACGACGCTTGAATTCGAATAATCTTTTGTTATCATATTTTGAATTTCAGTTGAAATATTGTATAATTTGCCTATATCATTTTGAGATCGTTAATGCGTGATAATATATGAGTCGGCAGTTTGAATCATTTAAATATCTATGAAGCTATATTTCTCGATAATTAATTTGAACAAAAGAAGAAATGAAATATTTTTAACGTACTTTTATTTCATAATACATTTAATATTCTGTGACAGTCAAGTCATTGACTAGTCAAGTCATCACCTCACATCGTTCTCTAAATTTTATACTAATTTAAAACGGTTCTTAGACAATCAA